AAAGACTTTCCTTCTCTATATCTAAATCATATCTAAAGGAAAATTACAGCCCCACTAAGCCACACTCTCCTCCTCCAGGATTGAGAAGGAGAAGAGCAAATTCCAAGCCGAGGTGTACGAACTGACCCAGCAGCTGGAGAAGGTCACCCTCGAGTCTGCCGGCTACCACAAGTCCGTGAAGAGCCTCAGCATCTCCATCCAGGAACTGAACATCAAGATCGAGGAGCTGAACCGCACCATCGTCGACATCACATCCGCCAAGCAGCGTCTGAGTGTGGTGCGTTTCGGGGGGGGTGTCAAGGTGGAGGGAAGGGGTGGAAGGGGAAGGAGAGGGTGGGTGGGTCAGGGAGGGGGAGGAGGTGCTGGAGGAGAAAGGAGGTGTTGGAGGGGAGGCAGGGTGGTTGGGAGAAGGGAGAGGGAAAAGGGGGTTGAATGGAGGGGGGAGGGAGTGGGGATAGGGGAAAAGGGGTTAGAGGAGAGTGCAAGGTGGGAAGAGGAAGGCACGTAGGGAATGAGAGGAAGAAAGAGAGAGTGGAGGGAAGGCAAAGGCTGAAAGTAAGACAGAAAGGAATAACGAGGGAGAGAAGAGATAAGGGAAAGAAAATAGATGATAGAGGAAAGGAGGGAGGGAGTGGGGAGGAGAGAGAGGAAAGATTATAGCGGAGGAGGAGGGAAGAGGATGTATATAAAATCATTTGATGATCTATTAGAGGATTGCAAGTGTCGCACATATGTATCCGTGTGTATGCGTTCATCTATATTTGCATTCATCTACAGTTGCATGTATGTACGCGTGTATATTTTCATTTATACATACTTGTATGTATATAGCCATATATGTACATTAGTACACTCATATATGCACACATATAAGTATATCTGTATATATATCTACATACATATATATGCATACATATTCATCTGTATGTATATGGATATCTATCTATACCTACGTCCATTTCCTTCACCATATATACTCATTAACACCACCTGACCCTTGTCCTTCCCGCCCTGCAGGAGAACGTCGAGCTGACCAAGGTTGTCCAGGAATACAAGGTCAAGATCGAGGAGCTGAACTACACCATCAAGTCAGGCTCAACCAGCGCTGACGAATGGAGGAGGAGATACGAGCAGGAGGAAGCTGTAAGTTGGTGCTGTTGTTGTTACTTCTTACTATTACTCTTGCCGTTTTTATCATCATTTCAATAATTATCATAACTATTATCATTATAATCCTTGCTGTTATCACTATTATCATTGTTAATGTTGTTATTGCTATTGTTATCAGTATCATCATTATTAATATTATTGTTATATTTAATTTTGTTGTTCTTATTATTGTCATTATCATATTAATTGTTATTGTTACCATTATCATTATTATTAGCATTATTATTTTCATAACTGTGATTATCATTAATATCAATATTGTTGATATTGGCATTATCATTGCCATTATTATACTGATTATTATTAGTTGTATTATCATTATCATAACCATCTTTATTATCAGCCTATCTATTTGTCATCGTTATTACTTGTAGGAGAAGCATTTGTTGTGGTTGATTTTAAATTGATCAAAATTGCCATTATCTGGTTAAAGAAACGCTGATGTAGAAGTATATTGAAAGTTTATTGTTGCATTTCCTTTCTAGTACAAGAGAGAGAGAAAAATATTTGTCATTTCTTGTTCTTGTTATTCTTCCCCTTCTCCTCCGTTTTTCGTAAGTCCGATTTTCCACCCTCACCCCTACCCCTTGCAAGAAAAATAATCCTCTCTGCCTTTTTCTTCTTATGCTTTCTTCTCCTTCTCCTTCTTCTTCTCCTTCTCTATCTTCTTAGCGGTTTTGTTCTGCAACACCTGCGCTTCCTCCACCTTATACAGTAAAAGAAAAAAAACATTCGTCTCCCTCTCCATCTCCCCCTCTTCCTTCTTCTTCTTCTTCTTTTTCTTGTTCTTGTTCTTCTTCTCCTTCTTCTTCTCTTCCTCCCCCTTCTTCTTCTGCGTTCTCCACGTAACCCCACTGTTCACTTTCTTTTTTCTTCTTTTCCACTTCTTCCTCTATCTCCTCCTCTTTCTCTACCACCTCACTACACACTTCCACTCTTCAGCGCCGCCTCCTCCTACTCCTTCTTTTCCTCCTTCTCAACTTCCTCCACTCCCTCTACGTTCTTCGCTTAACCCCACTATTATCTTCCTCTTTCTTCTTCCTCTCATTCTACACTCCTCCATCTCTATCTGCGCCTCCTCCTTCGCACGCCCCCGTCTTCCCCACCTGCTTCCTCTCTCCCTCCACCCTCTGACCGCTCTCTTCCCCCCGCAGCGCCGCCGCAAGTTGGAGAGCGAGCTGCACTCCCTCAACAACGAACTCAACGCACTCAAGCGCTCTTACGACGAGGAGTGCGAGCTGCGCATCGACATCGAGCGCAAGTACAACAGCGAGGTCTCCCTTGTGCAGCAGTTCAAGAGCAAGTACGAGAGCGAGTGTCGCATCCGCGT